CACAGCATCGCAATATTAATGTGATAAACAGAGGAAATCTTTACTTTGAAAGATGAGAACTTTCCAGTGTGCGTCTTGAACCAGCAGAGAATTCCTTGAGACCAATGGCAAAGGACAAGAATCTGATCCATTGCTGTCCTTTGAGCGTCTTATGTGCTGCTGTGAGGGTAACAACATCAGATGGAGGGGCTGGAGTGTGCACATGAGGGTGGAGAGGAAATCTTCCCCTGCGGCTCTTTTGCTCCTTTGAAGCCATTGACTCACTGGAGTTTGTTTTTCCTGTTTAGTTGTTTTGTTCCTGTGGTAACTGGCTTCCTGGTGCTGCCTGAGTGCTAACGAGTGGAGGCCACTGAGTTCCCAACTATGCATGGAGATAGCCACAGATAAAACTAATCCCCTATGCTTCTGGTTTTGTGGGAGGGATTGCGGGCTCTGGGACTGATTGAGCTGTTAGGACAGCCTGCATGTGGATGTGATGAGTTGAAAGCCCATGCAGCATCTTTGCCTTGTGTCTCTGAGCTGGAAGGCTGCTGTGAGCCAGGCACAGGGAGGATTCACGGTGCATGGGTTTGGAGCAAAGTGGTACCTGCCCCTTGTACCTGCATCTGCCATGACCTAATGATGGGTTCTGTGGTGGGGAAAGGGCTGCTGGCATTGCTTAGCTAGAGAAATAAAACTGGAGACCCTTGACTGGGTTTAGACTTGTGCCCCTCTGAGCTGGGAGCTCTGGTGACCTGGCCAGGTTTCTGATGGGGATGACTACTGTTTACCATAAATCCCATGATTCAGCTGAGGTTCTGAGCACTGCTGGGCATGACACAACCTGCAGCTTAAGGGCTGACTGCACTTCCTCTGTGCTTTGAGGCAGCTACTGACAGGGGTAATGGCAGTAAGGGCTTCTTTTGCCCAAATTGGGGTGTTTGAGGTAAGAGGGCTAGGATGGGGTTGAGCAACCAACAGCCTGTCCAGCCATGACTGTTACCTGTGTGAACTCGTCCCTCCAGCCTGCTGACTGCTGACTCTTCTGCAGTCAGTGCAGCCATACCCCAAGTAAAATCCGGCCTCTTTCCTCTTCCAGGTGATGTGGCTGGAGGATGTCCCACACGTGGCTCTGCACTGTGCGAAGGCTCCAGGCCGGTGGCAGCCAGTTGGCCCAAATGAGCTTGTTGAAGTTAGCTATTGTGAGTGTAGGTGCTCCTGGAGGCCATGGGCATCCTTCTCATCACACAGGAAAGCTGTGGCCTTTCTTACCTGGAAGGTGTCAGTGCTCTGCTGTGGTTCCCACAATTCAGACTGCCAGCTAGAAATGAGATGCTCCAGTCTAGGACATCACTCCTGATCCTGCTGGCCATGGCTGCAGCTAACCCTGTAGCTCTGCTTGCTCTTCTGGCTGAGCTCTGGAGATGGCCAGCAGCTGGGGGCCTGGGGAAAGGTCTGCTTTTGGTACAGCTTATTATGGAGTATGTGGCCTGGTTTTTATGTACATCTCCACTGAGGATGCAGCCTGGCCTGAACGTGCCTGTCTGAGTCCTGGCCCATGGTAAACAGAGCTTTTAGCTGTCTCTAAGGTCCCTTCCAACACTAACTATTCTATGATCATCCTGGTGTCTGCACCCAAATCTGTTGTTGGACATATGGTCAAGATGACCTTGAGCACTTAGCCATATGCCAGAGAGGATTAGATCTTGCAGCATCCCCCTCTAGGGATGCTTTACCCCTTCAGCAAGCAGTAACAAGAAGAGCTGAGAACTTCCACTCCATCACCATCTCTCTGTTCTCCCTTGCAGGTTTTACTCTCTCCAGCTGGATTTTGATCGGTCTGAAAGCGACCAGGATGTTTCAGTACTGCAGGGAACAAACCAGAAGATGAAGCAGCCCAGCTATCAAGTGGTCATCTGACAGCACTGAGACAAGGAAGGTGGAGGGAGGGAAGCAGCACTGCGATCCTTGAGCTGGCCAAGGGAATGCTAGTTGATCCTTATGGATCTGCAGAGATCCTTTTGCCTGCCTCAGCTATACCTATCTGCAGTTGTCTCTTTGGGATGGTATCTAGGCATCCTGCACAGGCTGGAGCAGCATCTGCTTTACCTGGGTGATCCTGACCCACACACATGCAGGCACGTTGGGGTTAGGGCTATGGACAGGTACTTCCCCTGGCTGGCCAGCTGCGTGGAGATTTTTGTCAGGACTAGAGACTGAAATGAGGAGATTGTCTGCTTTTTTAATAGGCAAGGAAAAGGATCTGCCCTGTACTGCCTGAACTGTGGCACTTGTATGTGCACAGTACTCAGAATAACGGGTTTGCGATATGTATTTAAATGCCTTGAATTGGAAAGGTTGTTTCAGTGGATCTGATGCTTTTCACTGTTTTGTAAAGGAATGCAGGAAATACCGGTCCGAAAACCTTCATAAATGAAATGCCTTCTTGTGCTTCGTGTTTTGCAAAACCCTAATGCTATGAAGGGGATCTGCTGGAATCTTTCCTCACCGGTTCCTCACAGGACAGATTACCTTTCTGCAGCAGGACTATCCCAGTAAAACTAGGGAAGAGCTGAGGCCACAGAGCTCAGTTCCTGTACAGGGGTTGTATGAGCCACTTCAGTGCAAAGACGTGATGCTTCAGCATGTGCTGGATTCCAGACTGGGCCGGACTTGGAGACTGATCCCAGTTGCTCCTTGGAAGTGGGCATTCAGTGGGCAGTAGAAGTTGACTAATTTCCTTTTAGCTAGTTTAAAATAAAACTGATGCTGCGAGGGCTGGAGCAGCTCTGCTCTGGAGCCAGGCTGAGAGAGCTGGGCTGGGGCAGCCTGGAGAAGAGAAGGCTCCTGAAGGGGAAACCTTAGAGCAGCTCCAGTGCCTAAAGGGGCTGCAGGAAACCTGGAGAGGGGCTTGGGACAAGGGCCTGTAGGGACAGGGCAAGGGGAATGGCTTGAACCTGCCCGAGGGGAGACTGAGCTGAGCTCTTAGGCAGAAGCTCTTCCCTGTGAGGGTGCTGAGGCGCTGGCACAGGGTGCCCAGAGAAGCTGTGGCTGCCCCATCCCTGGCAGTGCTCAAGGCCAGGTTGGACACAGGGGCTTGGAGCAAGCTGCTCCAGTGGAAGGGGTCCCTGCCTGTGGCAAGGGTTGGAGCTGGAGGAGCTTAAGGTCCCTTCCACCACAAACCAAATCTCTACAGGACCTGATTTGAAAACGATCTGAGGAGTCAAGTGAAGCGCTGTTAAGCAGCCCTCATCTTCTGGGGGTAAAGTAATGGCCTCTTGTCAGGGCTGGGGCATCCCAGATGTGGCACCTCTTGCTGTCAGTGTGAGGTGCAGTGCCTTGCCCTGGCTCTGTTAACACCGTGCATTCATCTGTAAGCACACAACAACTCAAAGCACTTTGCAACCCTCCTGGAAAGGGAGAGCGAGCCCAGAGCAGCTGCACAATGTGCTCAGGGGCTGGGTGCACACACAGCTGTGATGAGACCCAGCAGCAGCCAGGCAGCAGGGTCTGATCCAGGGCCAGCTGAAGTGACAGACCCAGCTGAGCCATGGACAGCCCCCAGAAGCACTGCGTGGGCATCGGCTTTTATTTTCCCTCCTTCCCTTGTGTTTTCCCAAGAAAACGTTCCTTATTAAGGAGCAGAAAATAAAGGATTTTGGGGTTTGGACTCGGATGTATTTAGACCTTCAAAAGCTGAGCTGAGAGCGTGTGAAGTTGTTTGGGTTTGTGTGGGTTCTTTGTCTTGCTTCCCAAAGTAGTTTAGAGGAATTAGATGCAAGTCAAAGTCTTGCATGTCCTCAGTGAACAGGACACACTTGGCTATGCTGGGAGCTGCTCAGCCTTGTACTGTATTGCTGGAAGTTAAGTCATTTTTTGTTTCGTACTTAATGAAGGGTCAAAATCCTACATCAGATGGCTTTGGAGCACGTGCTGTGCAGCTCTCTGAACACATCACTTATATTGCTTAGGGAAATCAATGCAACTTCTGCTTGTCTGGCAGAGTTCTGTGCTGGTAGGGGCTGGAGTAACTCATGCTGTTTAAGGTCTTGGCTGAGAATAGATTAAACCAGTTTCCCTATTAGAAATGAGTTTTGCTCTTGCTGTAGGGCTGCACAGAGCAGTGCTGCGGTATGTGAAGAGTGCAGATTCAGGCACAGCAATGTCCTTGTCCTAAAATGGAAGGGGACATGATCTTCATCTTGGCCCTTACCTAAGGCTGGCTGGGTAGGTTCACAACAGGCAATAGCAGGGTAAGTATGACACGGGGGAAGGTTATCCCTCTTGAGCATTGCCTGGCCAGTGTTGTTTGAGCAGCCCTAAAAATTCAGGAGTCCTGTTCCCTTGTCTGAAATGGTGGTGTGCAAGCGTTTCCATTGCACTCCGAGTGATTGCTCAGCCCTCATTCCTCAGCCATCTGAGCAGCTTGCAATGCAGTGGTTTGCAGTCTTTAACCATATCACTGGGAAACTGTGTTCTGGGACACAGTTGGAGAGGAGAACAAGCATGTGCCTGTATGTGTAGTCATTGCAGTGCACTTCCTTAGAGGTCCCTTGCTACCACGTAGGGTTATGAGGACTGATCCTGACATGTTCAGAGAGCAAGGGCAGTGTTGTGATGCTCACTTGATAGTTGGGAAAGCTGAAGTTTGCAGTCCAGGACCTGTGCCTTTGCTCTTACTGCTCTTGGGGCAGCAGGAGCACAAACTCTGGATTCTCATACCCTAACCTACTGTGTTTAGAGGCTGGATCACTCTTCTCTGTGGGGTTAAATTCTCAGTTTGATGTGTGACTAGAACCTTAGGGTCCATGCACCTAACACGCTTGTTGCTGCCTACCAGGTGTGGAGAGGTTAAGAGCATCATTGACCTTTAATTTTTCCACTGAAATTACTTTGGTTCACAGCCTGTTGTTAACTTGTGAGTGGGTCTTTCAGCCTCCCAGTAACATGAGCATTAAACATACATAACCTTAGCTTCAAAGCTCATTTTATCTTCTCCAAATGAAAGCTTCACTGCAGTGTTCACTGTAAAATATTTATTGTGAAATGGATAACAGGAGCCTGAAATGAGACCTTGAATATATTGCTCCAGGTGCTTCACATGGCTGGGAAGCTGGACTTGATCACTGTTCTCTTCAGGCCCTGAGAAGTACGTTTCCTTGGCTGGCATAGGAGGAAGAGGAGTAATGATGCACCTGATGCATTAGCAATATGTGTATATGTATATATACATATCTATATACAGGAGAGATGAGATGACAGGAGACCTTAAGCCAATCAATCCCCTTAGCAATACACTTGAACAGTTAAATGTGGGAGGAAAGGAAATATTTCAAAGCAATCTCTTCAGTGAGGACAGTATGAAGAAGACCAGGCTGTCTGTAAGTTCACCCCCACTATTGGCTGCACCCTGTTCTAGGGATACAGGAGGTTTGTTGGAAATGGGCTGGTGATCTCTCTTTCCACTCTTGTCTTGGCTGGAGAAGTCAACTTCACAGATGTTCTTTCCCATCTCATTTTTGGCCCATGTGCATGCTGCAGAGCATTAACCTCTTGGGTTATTGCATGCCTTCAGTCCTCTCTTGTAGGAGAGCTATTTCTCAACATAGCTGGGCCTAAAGCAGTAGTTTTTTTGTGTTCTGTTCCAAAGCTCAAGCCTTGCCCTGAGTTTTGCACTGACTGAGCTCTCTGTAAGCATCTTCCAGCAGTTAAATGTAGCTGGTTGCTTTTAGCTAGCTCCCTTTTTGCTGCAGTACATGGTGTGAATAAGAACCAGGCTTGCTGCCTGCTCTGCTGCCACGGGGCTAGCAGTACAAACCAGAAGACAAAGCAACTGGAAAATCACCACCCCAACCCCAGCAACAATAGGATTAAATATAATATATTAAATATGAAAAAAATCAGTCGAGATTGAACCCATTTCTGTAGCTCTCTGGCAACTCAGTTTCCTCCTAACACATGGATATCATTTAGTTCCTGGGGATGCTTCCACACCCACCCTCTTTCAGTTCTGGAAAGGCAGAGTATACATGAGCTCAATTTGGCCTTGCCATCCAAATGTCTTTGTGGTTGTCAAAGTCCTCTTTGGCCAAGTTCTCTATTAAAGGAACTCCCCTGTGGCTGATCTATAGCATTATTCAGGGATGCCTCACTTTGAAATAGACCACAGCCTTGCAGTTTGGGGTTGGAGGCTTGCACCACCTGCAGTGGGGGTGGCTGGCGGACCCTTCTGTAACCTCCTTCCTGCTGTGCACAGATTCCTGCGGCATAAGGAAGGAGAAGGAGCCAGGGGAAACTGGGATGAAAGTTATTTTACGACTTGGAGTAAATAAAGACTTCCTCCCTGATTAGCAAAGCAGCTAGAAATGTCTAGTCTAAGTTGAAGATGCTGTTTGTAGGGTCAAAAGCTGTCCTGACTGCTGGTTCATCATCTTTTAGAGAATTTAAATCTCTGCTGAGCAGAAGGGATGCTCTGCTCATGGAGGTGGTAGCTCTGTTGGAAGCTCACAGTGGAATTTGTGTCTCTGAGGGAGTCAAGATTCAAGCTATCACTAAACCTGCAATGTTACATAAATGAGATGCTTCATGGAATGGGAGCCTGCACCACTCCTCCTGCTGCTTTTTGAGCAGGCAGCCTGTGCACTGAGACAGCAATAAGCCACATGGAGGTTTTCACCACTGTTTTAAGGGTCCACAGGAGTTCAGGGAACGTCACGCTTAGTAGTAAATCCAGACCTCAGCCTAATAACCAAGAGAGCAATACTGTCTTGTGGGCTGTTGATTTATAAGGTTTTGATTTCTTTGTTACCTCTTTGATGCTAACGGGGCAGTACAGATGAATATCCAGACACCTCTCCTGTCTCTCTCTCTCCCTTCCCCAGGGACCACGGTTGGAGCAGATGCTCCAAGTCACAAAGCACTAAAGGGAGGACACCCAAGGACGTCTCTCTAGACAGACACTGTGCTGTATGATCTATGCCTCTCTCTGTGTGACTTACCAGCTCCTGGGGTATTGCACAGATCCCTGCATGGGTTAATTTTAAGGCCAGCAGCTCTCTGCATTGCTTGACACGAGTGCTCGACCACTTCTCCGTTCATTCCTATTGGGAGAGCACTCATCATGCTTTTACCATCTCCTCAACCCTTTCCCCCACAGCCTCCTTGTCTGCAGGAATTTGATGAACAACATCCATCTAGCATGAAAGAGAGACAGCTGATTTCCAAGGACAAAAAGCCTTGGTTTCTTTGGCACCAAAAAGTAAAGAAATATTCATAAGTTGCCTAGCTCTAGAGGCTTCAGAAGGGAACCACTGTCACACATGCTGCTGCAATGCATGGCTCTGGTCCTTCTTAAAGGCTGTTACTTGTCCCAGAGCTGGTCCCTGTGTCAAAAGGATGAGAAGCCAAATAGTCCCTATAGCTCCCATCGATCAGTTTGTCTGCATTGTTTTTGGCAAACCAGCACTCAACTTTCTGCTGGCCACTGTAGATCCTCCTCTGCTTCCACACCACAGGAACGAGGCGTCCCTTCACTTTCAGGGTGTTTGTAGGGTTTGGCTGCAATGCTTCTGTTTGATTCTGACCAACCTGCTGATGACTTGTGTTTAGAGATTCCTGGAGAAGTTTAACTTCGTGGTTCAAGAACTGACCTGCAAGGCAAGATAAAACAGAGTCCATGACTGGCTGTTCTGTGCCACGTTTTGAGGGCTCTTCCTCTATGAGGTTCTGAAGAGCTTCTCTGCAATAGAAAGATGAATCGAAGCCCTGAAGCTCTTTTCTAAATCTTACAAACACAGAGATTAGAATAAAACCCTACTTCCTTTTTCACTCATCAAGACGCATTAACTGAGCTTAAGAGCTTTTTGAGCTGCTAGAGGATAGTAACTCATACAATGCCCATCAGTGAGAAGAAGGAAGATCTAGGCCTAAAGCCCCAAGTTTTCTTGGGGACAAGCTCTTTTAGGCCAGACATAAGTGTGGTTTAGAGGTTTGTGCATGCAAGTGGCCTGAATCCAAAACCTCACTCCTGAAGGATCATCTGCTTAATCTGGGGATACATGAATGGACTATATCTTCAGTCTTAGGGTTCTGCACCTGTACATGGCCATAAACAACACTGCTTCTTGTTGGCAGAAAGAAATCAACCATTTAGGCATTCTCTGAGCCTACCTAAATCCTGGTTGCTCTCAAAATGTGGCTTTTCTTTCCCTTCATGCTTGAAAGAAAGGGGACACAGAAGGTACCAGTTTTCTTGATCTCAATCAGGCTATTCTGAATAGGGGATACTGTTAAAGAACCTCTTATTGGGGCCTTATGCAGGGTTCTTGTGGAATACTTGGTTTCTATCTCTGTATGGGGACCAGCAAGCATGTGTATCCTAATGACACCTGTGTTAAGCAACCACAAAAAGACTGGAAATGTGAAAACCAGGTACATCCACAGAGCTAGGATAGTAGGATATAGCTCACACAGCACAAGATGGGAGAAGAGTTTGGGATAATAACAATAGAGGAGATGTTTGAGAGTGGATGCAAAAGTCTCAGCTGGGAACTTAATGCCCACCTGCATTGTTCATTCCTGTCTCTGACCTTTAAAACTGTTTGGAAGGATCAATTTTGTCTGGTTTACAGCTCTGAACCCAGGAACTTGTTACCTACCCAGTAGCCCATGGGAATCAGAAGAGAGGCCTTTACTGTTGGAGATGTAGAACCCCAGGTGATTCCTCTGATATGGGGCTGGCTTCTTGTAACGGTGGATGAGGATGACAAAGCTGATGGTGTCTCGTATGGTCACAGTGACGTTGGAATTGGCAGAGATGGACACCTCGAGGCTGCTGCTTCGCACAACGGCGCTCCGGCCACAGGAGAGAAGGAGCCTTTCCCCATCATCCAGGATGATTCTTTTGGGTGTGATCTCCAGGTAAGATCTCTCTGGCTTATTGTTGAGGATAGTGATGGTGCTGAAGTAAGTCCGATGCTTCTTGTGGCCGTTGGGTGGTGCAGGAGCTCCTATTAATTGCCCATTCACAGTTACACCTTGTAGGAAAACAATCAGTAAGTGAAACCTGAAATCAGGAACAGGTATATTTGTCTCAAAGATACAGACCTTGCAACTGACAACATGAAGATTCACCACCTCATGCTCGATTATTTCACCTAAAACAGTATAACCAGTCTATCAGAAACTGATTATTTTATACAGAGCACCTAAGTTTACCCAAGCTCAGAAATACTGGCAGGTTCTCCCAGCCCCATTAGTCCTGACATTGCATACACAGTGCTACAGGATAGAACCAGCTGCTTCACAGCACAGTCACTCCCTAAGTTCCAACGTTAGATCCAACTATGATCAAGATAATGATGTGCAGGGTTTTTGAGCCTTACTTATCTTCCTGACTGCTCGAGCCTGACCAACCATGGCATGATTTACTTAAACCACCTATTTGTTGATGCACAGCACATCGCCTGGGCAAACATACCAGATCTTGGAGGACAAAGAAAAGCTGCTGGCAGTCCTGCTTCTCCTCATACCACAGCTGGCACAGGGACTGAACTTCTAAGGTACCTGGCTGTATCTGAACACTGCTGTCTCAGAGCATCTCAAGGTGGTAGAGAGCTGCAGTTTGATGTCCCTTTCTAGCTGACTCCTAAGAAGAAAATTGGCCTGGGAAGCCACAGAGTAAAGGTTTTACCTTGGGCAACACACTAAACACTGAGCAGGACCTACAGAGCTCCTTCTCAGTCCTGACCTACAACCGTCTGAGCTGCAGTGCTGAACCTCCTCTCTTCAGTTTCCTGGCAGTGTAGGGAATCCAGGTTCTCTTTGTGTCCCTGCAGAAGAGTGCACCCTGCACTCCTGGGGGGTTACTTCCAGCCTCACCACTGCTGCCTCTCCTACTTCCCTCAGTTTTGCCCCAGAAGAACCGCTTTTGCATAGTCTAAGGTGCAGATCCCTTGGAGTCAAATAAAGTTTATATGCCTATGGTAAGCTTCCCAATGATTTTAATGAGTTTTGTGACTTGCTGCCTGTAAGACAGTGCCTCGCTTCCCACAGGCCTCTGAACAGCTACTAGACAGTAAACAATAAAGGAGGAGGCTTCTTGCTAACCCAAGCCATGAGCAGTGAGATGAAGTATCTCCATATACCATCATTGCTGGGGGGTGTCTCTCATTTCTGTCTTCATAGACTCAACTTGCTAGTGCTACAGAGTCTAATTTCCTCAAGCTTATTCTGCTTTTGAGCCACAAAATGACTGAAGTGATAGAACAGAAGCTAGGAAAGAAGTCTGCCAGGAGCTGGATGTTATTCACTAAGGCATGAATACAGAAGTACGGATGCTAGACCACTGCCAAGCAGAACAGAATTCTTGTAACTTGATTGTGGGGTTATTTATCTCCTTTGTACAACATATATGTGCATTGTCCCTGGCTTTCACACCCCTTCCCCCCACAATTTCCCTGCTTCAGGACATAATCTGCTTATTAGCTGCCCTGCTTAGAATTCCAGATCAGATCAGACCACAGTTTAGGCCCCTAAGGATCAGACAAGCTTGAGCAAAGCAGATCCTGAATAGTGTGGGTTTACTTAAGGCTGTTCATTTCAGCCTGATTGGATATTTCACTCTGTCCTGAAGCAAAAGGTCTTGCAAGTGAAGAGGTAAGTTCCAACAACAGAGCAATTCTGGTGATTCCAGATCTTTTATTTGCCTGACTTTGTAACTAGAGAGCTGATAAAGATGCACCATCAAAGTAAGGCAATGTTTCCACACCAGAAAGCTGATCCTCTGTGTAATCTCTCACATGGAGGTGGCTTGTGCAAATGCTACATGCAGGATGCAAAATGCCTGTGGCTGTTTGTTCAGCTGTTGTAGGACTGGTCAAGGGCAACCCCCAGACCATACTGGGTTCAGTGATCCCAGGAGGAATTGAGCTCTCCAGTCTAGCTGGACTGAAGAGGTGCAATGGTTCTCATGCACTCAAGTGCGTCTCTTGGCTGTTCACGTGTAGTTGCTGTTCCCTTGATTTCAGTCAATGAAGACCTGATGTAGCAAAAGCTTGGATACCTATAAAAGACAACTCTTTCTATAATTAGGTATACTGTGCTGGCAAACACTTCTGTAGGTGAATTGTGTGTGTAACAGTGACCAGGTCTCCTCCTCGCTTAGGATAAAGTTGGAGGTCAGTAAGTGCAAGTGAACAGTTCTCTCCCTTTCCAATCCGGGTGAGTAGAGCCAGGTGTGCACCATTTTTCCATTGCCTGCCCAGGAAAACAGCTTTTTCTAATGTCTTGTCCCTTTCTTGCCTATGAAGCACCTTGGGGCTCAGTCTGGTTGCCAGAGAGCTGGCCTTACACTTCAGTTTTCCTCCACAAGTAGAATCATAGGAAGAGTTGGAAAGGACCTTCAGATCATCTAGTTGCAGCCCTCAAGGAGCTGCTTTACTTGGCTGCTTACCAGATTCCTTATGATCAGAAACCAGTCGGAGGATGTCCCCTGGTTCTCCATCGATGTTGAAGCAGACAGAGAACTTGCTGGAGGGGAAATCAATGACAAAGTGAGGGTCTCCATCAGCTGAGAAGACATGCAAAAAAAGAGACAAATATAAGAGACTTACACAATGTCCAAAATGTCCAAAACCATAACAAAACTGCTTTGAAAAGTATCTTTGTCCCTGTTTTTTCTAAGACCTCCTAGTTTATTGGTTTTAGACGGTTGGATGGAATTTGCCAGGAAATGCCAAGTTTTGCTTTGTTGTTTCATGAAGATCTGTTCTATTTTGGTTTGTTTTTCTCACAGAAAAGGTTGGGTTTTCAATGGAAACTCAAACCCCAGAGCAGTCCCATTGAAAATCAGGATATCTTCTTCCTGGAATATAATTTCAGTGGGAGTTATCATGCTGAGTTGTGTACCACTCCATACTTTGTCAGCAGGCTACATCCCCCAGAGCACACAGAAATGTGTCTTCTACCCAATGACTGCCGCATGGAAGCACCTCACACTGAACCTTCCTAGTCCTCAATATCATGGAATCATAGAATAGTTAGGGTTGGAAAGGACCTCAAGATCATCAAGTTCCAACCCCCCTGCCATGGGCAGGGACACCTCACACTAAACCATATCACCCAAGGTCTCATTCAACCTGGCCTTGAACACTGCCAGGGATGGAGCATTCACAACCTCCCTGGACAAACCTATTCCAGTGCCTCACCACCCTAACAGGAAACAATTTCCTCCTTATATCCAACCTAAACTTCCCCTGTTTAAGTTTTAACCCATTACCCCTTGTCCTGTCACTCCCGTCCCTAATGAAGAGTCCCTCCCCAGCATCCCTATAGGCCCCCTTCAGATACTGGAAGGCTGCTATGAGGTCTCCACACAGCCTTCTCTTCTCCAGGCTGAACAGCCCCAACTTTCTCAGCTGATTTTCATACAGGAGGTGCTCCAGTCCCTGATTATCCTCGTGGCCTCCTCTGGACTTGTTCCAACAGACCCATGTCCTTTTTATGTTGAGGACACCAGAACTCCACACAATACTCCAAGTGAGGTCTCACAAGAGCAGAGCAGAGGGGCAGGATCACCTCCTTAAACCTGCTGGTCACGCTCCTCTTGATGCAGTCCAGGATATCAGATTAGGGCAGTCAACAGCAGATACTAAACAGTCCCACAATCTTTGTATTGCAACAATCCTTGATTTATCAACTACCAGATAGGTGTCATTAGTAATAAGACAAGCCCAAAGTTCAGTTTTTAAAGTAAATTTGACCTTATCCAGTGACATTCAAGTCAAAACTCTTGAGCTAGGTTATTCTTCAGTGTTTAATGGTTTTTGACTGGTTCTAGTACAGACAGAACAAGCTTCCTGTTCTCCCCTAAAATCTACAGAAGACTCAAACATGAGTATCAAGCGTTGTAGACCATCTGCCTTGCCATGTTTCCTCCCACTTCTTCTCATGACTGATCCTCTGTGTATTTTGGTTTTGTTTTCATTTTCCTCCCTACTCTGCAGCTCTAGTAAGCAGGATTGTGGCTGATCCGTTGGGATGGTTATACTACAGTGGCATGCCACTGAGATTTCCGTAAGTCAACCATGATTATTAAAGGCATGAAAAATGGCACTGACCTGAGGTTTTGGAGATTTTAATTCTCTGTTTATCTTGCTGTCTCTGTATACCTAGAAGCAGGGAAGGAAGGCTGTTACAATTCCTTATTGAGCAGCAGAAAGAGCCATAGTATAATAATGTAAAAATTAGTCAGCAAGATTATGGGCATATTCCTGCAGCTACCTTAAGCTTCATTTAGAATACCAGTTTTAATTCAGTCGTTTCTACAGAGCACTAAAGTGCTTCAAGGGCTTGAATCAGCTTCCTGAAAGGTTTGCTTAAGGTCACCCAGCCCATAATTAGCAAAATCAATATGAAAATCTCACCCTTCTGTTTACCACTCCTCAGTTCACTGGCTACATCATCCCTGTTGCCAAAGTCAGCAATGAGGCATAACTTATGTGAAAAGATTTCTTACCAGTACATGGTTATTTCCTCTCATACCTGGTGGTGCTTTGTGTCCCTGCAAACTCTGCAACTTTTCTCCGATGCCGTCAGTAGAAGGGCTGATAAACTCCTCTGGAGCTAGTTCTGGATGGACCCCAGCCTCTCTCATCTTCAGAACAGTGAAGGGAGTAACAAAATCGTAAGTCAGGGCCATTGACTTGGCTTTCTCCATCAAATAGTCTTTTTCCTGACTGTCATCACTCTTCAACCAAGAGTTAAGCAGTTCCTTGATGGTGAGGTAACTCCATGCCCTCTCAATGTAATTTATATCACCTTTGTCATCTTCCAAGCCGGGGATACCTCTGATATCATTCCTGCTTGGCACGTCAATAGCCACATCTTTCTTGAGGAGGATGTACTTCTTGGAGTTGCTAGCAGTCACCTCCACATGGAGACTGTCTGAGGTGCGGTTGATGAGTTTGCCAGCTATGATGATTTCAGAGCCATTAAAGTAGTTAGGGAAGAAGTTCTGGGTGACTTGCTCCACGTTGTCTTCAGGGTAGTCAACACGGATGTCAGAGAGAAGAGGAGTTCCTATTTCATCATAGAACCTTAAAGAAAGGCAAATTTCTCACCATTAGTACTGTTCATCCAAGTGGATGCACACACTCTCGCACTTACACATGGCCAAGGATACAGGCAGACTGTCTAACACGGCTCCTGAGACATTCAGGAGCAGTTATCAGGCTGTAAATTTAAGCACTGTATCCCCTGTAACTGGGTCCAGAGATGGGGAGAGTCTCTGCCCTTAGAGGTTTTTCAAACTTGAGTGGACAAGGCCCTGAGAAACCTCACCTCAGTTTGAAGTTGGCTCTTTTCTGAACAGAAGGATGGATTCTGTGACCTCCAGAGATCCCTTTTAACCAAAGTTATTCTCTGCCTTATTTTAGTTTTCAGTGCCTAAGGCATCTAAACAAAGTCTCTTCAGCACATTCAGAAGCATCCCAGCATGGCCTGGAAGTCACCTACCTTCTACTATGATTCCACAGCTCTGCAAAGAGGTATTTGTGACCACTTAAGTTTGCTTGAGAAGAACTGTGCAATAAAAGTAAGTTCTTGGCTTCTCAGGTTCACTGTAGTTATTTCAAAATATACTCAGGAGAGATGCTGTCACCTACATGGTATTCCAGAGCCAGAAACTGTAATACCAAGATACTAGGTTCCCCAAATCTGGAGAGTATCTGAAGCAAAGATTCTGTATCACAGGAAGAGCTCTGGATAAAACCATTTGAAATGGTCAGTGTAGAACAGGCAGGAGTACAGTTTTCTGAGGGCCAATGAAGAAGGAATCTCACTATGCCCCCATCAATGAGGACATTTCCATGGAATAGAGGAATCCTAACTACTAAATACAATCAGCCTGGCAGAAGAGAACTCACTGCTACCTTGTTCATAGAGTCATAGACTGGTTTGGGTTGGACAGGACCTTGAGATCATCTAGTTCCAACACTCCCCCCCTCCGCCAATTTTCTGTTGGAACAAATATGGCTTCTATGGAACTAGAGAGCTTAACCCTACGGTGACCTACTATAATTCTGTGAATACCTCACACTGGAGGAGCCAAAAAGCCTTTACAAGGGGACAAGACCCAAGTTTACAGTACTGCGTTTGCCCTACAGCAATGTGCTTTTGATGGATCTTCCCAAGCTGCTCCAAGAATGCCTATTTTCCATTTAAATGCCAGACTCTCCCTAACTTGGCAGGTCATTTGAGCCTGATTTGGTGAACAAACAAAGATTTGGCCTCAGCCCTTGTTTAGATGAAGCTGCATTTATTTCTCACATCTGCTTAAACAGATTGTCTGGAAGCTAAAGTCACACTTTCTGCTTTATTCACTGTCCAAGGAATCCCAAAGCCTGGATTGGTTGACTTTCTTCTAAAGTCTTTCTGAGCATTCAGTGTCTTTGATGCAGAGACATCATCATGTTTTAAAACATGAATGAACTAAACCTGAGAACTCCCTGTGAAATAACACCTGGGCTGTAACAAATGGTGGAGTGAGAGATACAACCTGCCTTATAGTACAATGCAAGGAACTGTCCATCCCTGTCAGTGTTCAAGGCCAGGCTGGACAGAGTTTGGGTGCCATGGTTTAGTGTGAGGTGTCCCTGCCCATGGCAGGGGGGTTGGAACTGGATGAGCTTAGGGTCCTTTCCAACCCTAACTATTCTATGATTCTATGATTCTGTTAAGCGTCTGTGTACAAATACAACCCACTGACCACAACACTCAGAAATTACATCGGCATCCCTGTAGATTTTCCCTGTAACAGTGATTTGAACTGGTCTCCAGCAAGTGACTGTAGGAATTTGGCACCAGATGCCAAATGGGTCTGCCATCACTAAGCTTGATAAACTGCTTATCAGCTAGAGGTGTTTCAACAAGTATTTGCAGTGTTGGGTTCCTGCAGCCAAATCAATCAGTGTATCCTTCATTTGCCAGGGAATGCCGCTTGCTATCCAAAATATATGGGCAAATGACATGGGTAGAGTGGCAGATGGATCTACAAAATCCAGTTTAAAAGGAAGATACTCGTAATCATGCATAACCATCACAGAAGGGAAAGCTCTGGTGGAAGGTGCGTGGTCTCATTGCTCCAGATGAACTAGAAACTAGCTAGGCAAGAGGTCTGTGCCCAGCGACTGTCTATTTTTGATTTCTGAGGTCCAAACCATTAGCATTTTGGGAGTGAAAGCCAAACATCTTTGCCTGGAAATACCAACACACTGCCTGGCATTTTAGACAGAGCTGTGGTTCACATATGCTTTTGTTGATCTCACTAGGATCTCCCCTTGGACTACAGCTCCCCAGTCACAGAAGAGAAGCATGATGCCTGGTCCTAATGAATGATGAGGATTACAGGAAACTTGTTAGGAGTTTGGGTCCCAAAGAATGAGTGAATGAGGGAATGACCACTGAGTATTTTTCAAAGTTGAATTATTTTGAAATTTGGACAAAAGGTTACGGTTTTCAAAAAACACAGGAATGCTTTTCTGTCCCAAATTGGGACCTTAATTCCTGAGCCCTTTGATACCATTTATGTTGTCAGTTTGAAATGAGCAATGTATCCTTTCCTCCATTCGTCCACCTGCAGAGAGGTGGCACTCTTGCCTCTCATCTCTCCAGTTTTACATGCCCCAAACAACAATCTGAATTAGAGGAACAAATGCCTTGGTATGAGGGCCTGAGAAGCTCCAGCACAGCCCAGGTGGTCTGCTAGGAAGGAGACTGTTTATGGGTAGGCATCCTCAGTATCTGAGCATACTCTGCCTCTCTAACCAGAGTTGAGCCTCAGGGGAACTCCCAGCTATTGTGTTGTCTCCTTAGAGGATTTTCCTTCCCAACCCCTTGCCGAGTTCCCAATAAAAGCAGATAGGAGCACAGAAAAGCAGAACAAACCCTTTGAGGTGGCTGGCTGCATCCTCATCCTCCTGGAAATGCCTTGTCATGCCGCAGTTCTCCAGTGCCATCCTCTCCAGCAGCTTGTGGTCCACATCATTGCCAATACCGATGGTGAAGAGGCAGAATTTATCACGGATGGCATCCTTGGTGTTGCTGAGGATTTTCAGTGACTGTGTTTCCCCAACAGTGGGCCTCCCATCCGTGAGGAAGATGATCAGAGAGACACTCCTGGCATCAATGTCATTCTGAGCAATGTAATCGTTTAGCAGCTTTGCACCAGTCTGGAGAGCACCATTAATATTAGTCCCTGGGAAGGTACAAAATGATTAGGTCATTTCTCCTTCTAAGAATGGTACAGATAATTTCTCTAAGCTCCCTTTAATACAACGACACACTTGTGAGGTGGACCAATGCCAACATCATGAAGTTCTATGGTTCTATGATCTGTGTTCAGCAGGATGTTCCTTTTTGTCTACATGACGTTGCACCAGCTCTTTAACTGAGTTCATTCTCATCACCAGTTTGGGATAGCTGTTGGGATAGCAGTCTTATGAACTGCAGTTGATTATATGAAATTGCTGTATCCTTGAATGCCCCAAGGTACAACAATCAGCCATAGTAAGAAGAATCACAGCACACACCATGTGTTGCCTGTACATACCAGAAGAGTTAAACTTAATTACAGGACTCTCCCAGATGCTATCTGCACCAGGAAAACAAATCCTGCTCACTTTGTCTGAAGGGCACAAGATGTGGAGAAAGGTAGAAAGCCTTCAAATGGGAAAACAAATGGTTGTGTTTGTTCTTTGAACCCCGGGGCTAAGCAAGTTTAAAGGGAAGAGAAATGGCTTTGTTAACTGAGGAGTGTGTTTTCCCAAAACAACTGGATAGGGAAGAATTGAGCTGCCTGAAGTGGGGGAGAGTGAAAACACAGAAAATCAATGAGAGAACAGATGTATGTTAGAAGAAAAGCCATGGAAAGGATCCAAGCCTACTCTGTATTCAGAGAATAGAAAGCAAGAAAATGAGTACAGGTACCTCCTTGCTCCATGTATTTCTTGTGCTACTCAAAGCAAAGAGGGATTGGTTGTGGAACCTTTGCAAGATCAGTACAGATGGGTTAAAAAGAGCCCTCAGGAAGAAAGCAGGTGAAATGGGTTAAGAACCGTACACATCAGACTCTTGGGGGTTCAAAAAGGGAGATCTAGAGAGGTTATGAGCATGGTCTGACCATGCATCATGTACCTAGAAACTTAGGTCCAGTGGAAACAGAAACACAGGTCCAGTGACTGCAGCAAGTCAAGGAACAGGAAAAGGGCTAAAACTTCTGAAAATGCCTCATAATTTAGACCATGTTTTCATGCAAAATGGTTTTGAAACAAAACCCTGCACCTAAATATCTTATACTCCCTCAGACTCTATCCAGATCCAAAGATTCAGGTTTGTTTTGTTTTTTCCCCAGAAACAAAAGGAAACCATTCTATGCAGCAGATCATGTCATTTCAAGCCCAGCTTCATCAGAGAGCTACCAAGCACTGACCACTGCCTTCTGCCACGTGCACAAATATTTAGCAACGATATCTTTCCCCCATTTCTTTGGTGTATGACACAGCAGTGCGAGCACAGCACGTACGTTGTGTCTGGGGTCAGTCTGAATGCATTCACGTTCACTGATGGATACTTGAGCACCCACCCAGACACTTGAGCAACAGCCTCAGACAAAATATAATAATAGTTTTTCTTAATATTTAGGTATTAGTTAAAAATGGACATTAGGCAGAAGCTCTTCCCTGTGAGGGTGCTGAGGCGCTGGCACAGGGTGCCCAGAGAAGCTGTGGCTGCCCCATCCCTGGCAGTGCTCAAGGCCAGGTTGGACACAGGGGCTTGGAGCAAGCTGCTCCAGTGGAAGGGGTCCCTGCCTGTGGCAGGGGTTGGAGCTGGACGAGCTTTAAGGTCCCTTCCAACACAAATCAGGCTGGATTCTGTGAAAATGCAGAGTTAGCCAAAACTGAAGTACCGCTGGCCTGTGTTGGAGCATCACTGCACCTCCTGTTGAACCCGGGTTAATCGTTTCCTTTTACTTTTGTTCTCTGGCACGTTCATGGGCAAACTCAGCTGGCTCCTGCATAGCTCTCTTGGTATTTCAGGACTGAAAAGCTCTGTAGTCTGAGTTTAGTCCCACCATTGGTAATTGTTTAACTGGGCAGGTCCCTTGACCGCTTCCTAAACTCTTCCTCTGACAATGCAAACATTATGGAAACCATCCTGTTTGCTGTGTTTTTCCATCAGAGAGTTTCCTTTGCTAGGAGTGGTCAGTGCTTAAGGGCAGCCATGGGAAGACCCCACTTGACCCTCAACCAGCTGACTTTTTCAAGGGGAAGGATTTGCAGCTTGCACCTTATCAGAGGAGTGCTCAGCTAGGATGGGCACAGCTGCCAAGTTATGTCTGCTTACAGACCTCATTATGTTATTGGGGTTTTTTGTGCTATGTTCATAGCTTCATAGAACACTGAATCATCAAATCCAAAGTCATGCTGGTGCCACTGTTCTGGGGTCTTCTCCTTTCCCTCCTTTCTTCCTGGCAATGATGTGCACACAAAAAGGGACGAGAAAGAAACTAGCTCTTGCGGAAGGCCATCCCACAGCCCACACTGGGATGTCCATCCCTGAAGTTTCCAGCCCAGACAGAAACGTGTCTGCTTTTACACAGGCTTGCAGAAGCTGCCCAAGTATGGGCCTTGTGTGTCCTCCTCCAGGATACGATGTTTTTTCCTGTGTCCTCAAGAAACAACCTCGGGAATTTTCCATTCTCCAGATAAATGGGAGAATGGGCCCAGCTTGGCTTTAATAAGTATATCAAGTCATATGATTGGATCTGGGGAGATCTCCCCTTCATGTATACTGATAAAGGGCACACATCTTCCTGTCACACAGCCCCAAGTGCAGGTGGGGAAGGTGCTCCTTCATTCCATCGCCTAAGTCCTAGTGTGTTTTTATTGTCACAGGACCATTCACCACCCTCCATTCTGTAGTTGGATATCAAAATTAACCTCATTTGTAACTCTGAGTCCTACCTCCAGTAGGTGACATGTTATGAATGTACTTTTTGGCATCTCTTATGTTATTTGGAGTAACTGGCACCAGCCGGTCTTGCTGCCAGACCTTTATGCGGTTGGAAAAGCCAATGATATTGAAGTGGTCTTCAGGCCTCAGGTCCTGGAGGATTGTGAAGAGAGCTTCTTTGGTCTAGAAAGAGAAACAAGAACAGTAAAGCAGAACACATTTAGTGGGCAAGAACTGAACCCTTAGGACATTTACTGATCTTACAGATATTTCTACAGTGCCAGTTTGGCTCATGAAGAAAACTGGGATGTCCTTCCCCATTATCAAGGCCTGATCTCTGTGGTGACAGGTGTGATGCAAATATAAGACACAAGAACACCTCTTGCCCAAAAGATCTTGCATAGCTTAAAAATCATGTATGGCGATTAGGATAAAAGATCCCAAGACTCCCATGCCCTGAACTAAGGGATGCTGAATAATGTTTTCTAATACCAAAAACCTCATGGGGTTGTTCTTCCCTCTAGACTTGCAGGAAGCTTTAAGTGGTATATAGTTAAAAAGGGTACTTTCAAGTTGAAATACCTCTAAGTATGCCAAGGATGCACATGCTCTATTCACAATTAGGATACCAACTGGTATATACATACTCCAATGAATAGTTCCAGCAATTAACAAATGTTTAAGCTATTAAATTAATTATAATTAATAAGAATTAATAGAATTACTAAGATACAAAAACAAGCCCTGACTAGTCATTGCAGATTCTACCTACTAGTCAGTTTTGACCCAGGTATCTTGGTTTTCATCAACATTATACTGCTCCACTGTTTATCATCCTATATAAATATAGGCAGAGTGAGGAAAGCTGATAGCAAGACCAGTTCATAGGGAGGGGTGAAGCTTCCTGGGTGATGAGAAAGACAGGCCACTGAGGATAAGCCAACAGGAAGAATGAAGATGTGTCCAGTTCTCCCCAGAGTGACCAACTTTGATTTGCAGCTGTGTTCCCATGAAGACAAACTTCAGCTTAGTAAGACCAGATGAAAGAAGATGCCCCAAAGCAGCCTCTATCCCTGTATTTGGACACAAAATTCATGGGAGGAATACAAGGTAATATCTTTAAGTAGAGGGATCAACAGCTTCTGGACTCTGCCCCTTCTTGGCCACCATTAAGCCTTTCAAATTCCAAGGAAATAATATGGTGGAGTCATCAGCATTTAAAGGTTTCTCTCATGCCTATGAGGGAAATATGTGAAGGACTTGTCCAGCAAAAATACAAAAGGCAATCAGCAGTGCTGGAAGCCACATATTTCTAGCCCTGATGCTGCTATGTAAAGACAGTCGGGAAAGGAGCTCAAAGGGCTGCTCAAGCTGTGTCATCAATATCCCTCTGGATTCGGCATTGAAGCTGATGATGCAATGATGCAACTGCAAACACATTACCCACTGCAGTGGAATCTCTCATCCTCCCAGCTGGTGACTTGGCTCACAGGCCATCTGAAGTGAAGGGGAACGTTTCCCATAGCTTCAAACATTTTGGAGCCAGTTCTGGAGTCCCTCCCTGTCTGTTTCTGTCCTCTGTATAAACCATTTCCCTCTGCAGGGATTTCAGAACTCACCCCTCCATTTGCTTAGCTACAACATTACTCCACCTCTCACCACCATGCATTTTATGGGTGTTTCATAGCTAAGAATATGAAACCAAATGCTGGTGGAAGAATCTCACTCAAAGAGAAGGGGAAAACCCCACTAGGTGTTAAACCATAACAAGTATGCACAAAATAAACCTTCAAGAAGAATGCCTGCCCCAAATGTAAAGGCTATCTCCCCAGTCAAACAGCCCAAAGAGAACTTGCTAAGATGAGCTGAAGAGCAGTTCTTTGAAGAAAGAAGGGAAGGGTTTGTGCCCTGTCATTTCCTCTTTTACAATAGCCTTTGTATCATAAAAGTACATCACATAATACACGACATCAGCCTTCAGAGGGCTCTCAAACATTCATTCCCATTTTACAAAAGGAAAAATCAAGGCACAGGCTACTTCAGTGATGGTGTCAAAGCCACAAATGGGAGCTTTGCAAAACCTGGAGTTTCCAGCTATCCAGTAGGCCAAACCACTTCTCATGTGCACATACAAGGGCAAAGCAGCAATCACATGGTGGAGAAAAGGACTCCTGGATTCATTCCAGGACAAGAAGAGTGGCCCACACACTTGTCCCTCAAAACCGGGTTCAAAGTAAGCAGAAAGTGCAAATGAAGCTTCTCTGCAATGTGAGTGTGATCAGGCCTTCATGCCAACCTCTGCTGAAGGAGGTTTGGGGTGGGATGTTAAAACAAGAAACAACAGCTCCCTATGTGCAACATTCCCCCCAGCAGGCAAGGAGGGGAAGCAAAGGCGCCTAGGAGCAGTGATCTGAAGGGAAACTCCCCAGATCCCATTATCATCCATGTTATAGCTCTGGTTACAATTAACATCATTTGACCTTTCCCATTACAAAAAGAACTCTTAAGTTTGCTGCAGCTCTGTCAAACCGCACTTTTCTCAGAGGGATTTACTGGTCCCAAACAGCTCTGCTGTTTCTGAGAACAAGGCAAGAGGGAAACTCATCCTGCTTTGGCCTTGTTGCATCTCACCTCCAGGGTGCTCAGCAACCCCTTTTCAGAGGTGAAACAATGCAGTTTGGTGTACACGCTATCCACAATGGAACAGCAGAGGGGCTCAGGAGGGAACTGAAGCAGAAGGTGCAGCACTTCTCCACTCCCTTATACAGGGGCAAAATGTGGGGCTGGGATCATCTCTCTCCCCCCTTTTGCCAATCTTTCTTTCCTGGTTGTCTCTTTTGTCACAGTTCAGTTATTTCCGTGGAGTTTGAGTCAGTTTTTCCCAGGAAAAGGTTCCATCGTATTTTAACACACACGCACAGACAGCCTGGATTCTAGCATCTCCGTCATGTGCTTGCATCTGAACTTCAATAAAAACGCCCTTTGAGTTTATGTTACATACACACAAGTGTGTATATGTATATGGTTTTGCTCCAAAGCAAACAGAATGAGGGAGGCCATGTGGTTCACTCTACTGTAGCTTTTGCCTCATCCCCAGAAAAAATAAAGGGTGGGATTCAGCTTTCCCAACTCAGTCATCAGAAAGCTGGGCATTGCATCTAATTCCTCCCTAGGCAGGGGAAGACACCTCCAGAGAGTAATCCATCCCATCTGTTTTGGATGGGGTTTAGGATGAGCTGAGTCATTGTCTGGAAGTGCCTGTCTCCCAGCACTGCCTCCGAGAGGCTGAGTAGCTCAGCTATAGAAAAGGTGGGACTCACCTCAAGACCTAATACTGCCCGATCCTGAGCACTATTGTGCTTACTGGAGCCAGAAGGAACTGAGCTGGGTCTCCATCTCTCCCAGAGCACTCTGAGTTGCCTGGCTCATCTTGTGCGTTTCCATCTCTCCTCCAAACCCACAAGGACCCTCAGGTGTGTGCTAAAGACTTCAGTCCACAAAAGGTGGCAACGCACTCTTTGCTGCTGCTATTCCTCAGCCATAAATGGGTTGTGAGAGGGATGTGGCTTCCCTCTGGAGGGCTGGATATGATTCAGGAGCTGGCAGGCACAAGTGACTTTAAATAAGGAGAATATCTTGGTAAGAGTGCACTGCTTGAAATCCCTATGTGTGCAGTTATGACCCAGGGCTCCTCCAGTCTCCGTCAGCCCCCAGGCAAGGATCTGCAAAGCTCTTCGTGCAGAGAGTGCCTGGCAGCAGCTTCAGTCAGGACAGGACAGCAGGTTTCTCATTCTTGGCCTTGTACGGCCACAGCTGGAAGTTCTCCTGGCTCCGAGAAGCCAAGGGCTGAGGCTGCCATGGGATTCCCAAGCTGCTCTGCTGCCGATGGGGTCTTTGCAGCTTCCACTCCCGCCTGGCCCCAGTGAGTCACTGCATTGGAACAGGGGCCAAAGGCGCTTTCCTGGATGCAGAGCATTAACCACTTCTTCCCTGGTAAGGGCCACGTTGCTCTTCCATGGCTGTGCATGGCACCGGTTCATGTTGGGGATCAGCTGGGCACAGATTTAACCCACTCGCACTGAGGAAAATCAGTTTAAGCATCCAGTGCCATTGGGCCAGGTAAAACACTTCCAACGTGTTTGGTGGATAAATGCATTTCTGCATGGAAGGTGGAAAAAGGATTACAGGAGAAAAGGGCAGGAAGTATCAATACAGCTGGGAGAAACATCAGTTTTTGCTGGTCGGGAATGGTTTGTAGCCATCAGAGGCAAGTTCTAAATGAGGATTTAACATAGGATAAGTCAGTGGAGGCAGTTTCCTCTGTTTCCCCTCAAATTAGCATGGGTGAAATTGAGCTGAGAGGTAGAGACCAAATTCCACTTCAATGCATTTGAGCTGAGAAACTGTGCTGGTGAATGAGCTGTCAGCACAGCAGGAATCTAGTGCTTGGAACAGCCACGTCCAGGGCTACAAAATACCATTCCCCAAACCTGGAGCAGAACAACCGTGGTCTAAGCTGGGGACGGGAGGGGTGGCCATGGCTGCCAAGAAGTGATCACAGTTTCTGTGCTCAGAAGCTGAAGAATGGTTCACGCTTTCTAAATGACCCATGTGCAAGCAGTGTCTCCTCAAGCCAGCTCCCAGCATCACCTCCACACCATACCTGCGCATGCAACGCAACTGCTGCTCTTCTGCTTCTTGCTTGAAGGGCCCTGCACCACAGCCAACATGATTCAAGGCTGCACGACCCCCAGCAACAGCAGGAAGAGAACTCCCTCAGCTCCACTGCTGTTCCTCTGTACCTCGCCCTTGGGGCTGGCTCTGACGGACCTCACTTTGCTTAAACACTGCTGGAGCATGGGAAGAGACACGCTCCCATGGGAGAGCTGAGAGCCTTCAGCCCTTTCCTGGGTCAAAGAGCTGCCCCAGAGACATCTGGGATGATGTCAGACCATCTGGGCACCTTTAGGAGGAATCTGAGTCCCGGTGACATTTCTCTCACAGTCCCTTGTTTGTTTGAGGAGCAGGGTGAGGGTGCAGCTTTGGCTACCTCGAAAGCTGTGCAGTTCAAAGGGAGACATTGTGTGAGTGTTAGATGCTGTGGCACTGCCAGACATTGCCCCTGCTACGAAGCAAGGGGAGAATTCAAGCACCTCATTATAATGCATGCCCCAAGCCCACGT